TATATATATATATATATATTGTTGATTAGTGTTTTTTAAATAATTTAATTGACTACAAGGCCATAAAGGTTTTTAATCAATTAAAATTATTGATTTAAAAAATAGAATAAAAATATTTTAAATTTTATTTAAATGATTATTTTAATATGAATAATAATATTTAAATCTCACCCCTACCCTTAACATGTTACAACTGTGTGACGAGGAATGTGAAAGTGGCTCTTTGTTTACAAACAACTTATGTTCAACTTGCTAAGCAAATGAGCCGAGGATAAAATTTTTTTTTTTTGCGCTCGATATATTAGCAAACCAAATATGAACAATGGTGTTTTTCAAGCTTGACTTGTCTACAACCCTAATTGTAGCAATAGATCACTTACGCATGATACTATTAGCTTTTGGTTTGTGAGATTGGCATATAATCACTTAATTTTAGTTGTTGCAATTGATTCAATCAAATGTAAGTTCAATATACGTATATGAAATGTGAAATCTTTTTTAGTAATTCTTTTTCTATAAATATCAATGTTTACTTTTTGAAGATTTCTTATGGTATTAAAATTTTTAGAAATCTTGAGTTGTACATTTATGTTATGCACAATTTATTCTTTGAGATATGATTTTAGTTGAGGATATATGCTCGAAGAAATGAAACTTCTCAATAAATTAGTTACAATAAAATTTTACATCTCTTGATACATTGTTTTTGAGAGGAGCACTTATTGACGGATATAGTAGACCTTCTAATGAAATATTGCTCAACCTTCTCCCAAGAGATCTCGAGGTTCTGCTTCTTCTTTCTTTTTCTTTTTCTTTTTTTTATCCCTTCTAAAAAAAAGTCATTGAAAGTCTAGCTCATGATTCAGATTCAAAGGCAACCCAAGTTGTACTTAAAAATAAATAGTTATTTATAGAAAAAAACATTAGCTCAAGCTCAGGTGAATAAAAGAAATATAAGTTTGTTGAGAGATGTGATGAGAAGTTCTCAATCAAAAATCATGCTATTTAGCTAATGAAAGAAGTTATTTATTTTAATTTAATTTCAATTTTATTCTACACATTTTACTCTCACCTTAGATAAATTTTCATAAAATATTGATTCTCCCTACATTAGTTAGTGCATTTTAAAAAGTTAGTTCTTTTTTTTATTTGAAGTATTGCAATAGTCTAAAAACATTTGAAAATGGTTTTCATTTACATCTATAATTGTGGATAAAATGAGTGGAAATCATTTATCATTTCTTAATTATTTTGAAAAAAAAAATCATTAATGCCAAATCCTTATATTAGTTATTATACTTAATTTCTACATCTACCATTCACTATATTTAAGCATGGCATCATGAAAAGAAAACTATGAATATATAATTTCAAAAGATAAAGATATGCTTAAGAAAAAAATTATCATTCTCATACAATTCCTACAATCCAAACCTAGCCTTTGAATAACCCAATAACTTCCGTTCGAATGAAAAATTGACTAAATAGCTCCTAATTTACATTTTTGCATATAAATAAATTAATAAATAATTATCGTAGAGTATTTTTATCTCATAAAAAATAAGAAAAATGCTCAAAATTTTTAGTAAAACAAAATATAACACAAAAAAAATAGTAAAATTCATATTATACACTTTTAAAATATATTCACAATTTCTATATAGATTATCATCAAAATAATGTATATATATATATATATATATGTTTGGAAAGTGGGT